CGTGTCTCCGTCATTAGGGCTGACCGTGTCACCAGCACGATTTTCTCTGAACATCTTTAGTGGCCTACAGACATGAAAGTAACCTCAAAAACGTTTTAGAAAACACTCCGTTACGTCCTGCGTCTGAGTCCTACTTCGTCATGGTCTCTTACCACACACATGTATGCAGGACTTCTCCAAAAGTGGATCAGGTAACAAGTCTGGAATTCCCGAATGCTACCTTCCACAGACTTGAGGCATTCGATTGCAAGAGCGCCAATATCATTTATGCCATCACTGCAAGAGCTGTGGCATAAAAAACATTGGTGCAACAGGTCTACGACTGGCTGACAGATTCAGACCACATCCTTTGGGTGCGCAGAACGGTGCCCTGAAACTAATACCGTTGTACTTCAGTGTGCAGAATCACCAAGGTGTCAACGAGATGGATGTGACAGCTATTAAACATAGCCACTAAAACGACAAGTCTTTGAAAATCTCTTTATTTTTACATTGGGCACTGTAACACACAGGTTACTGAATTGTCAACGCAGTTACATCAAAAATTCTCGAGTTATGGCCATTGGCCTTTCCCCCGGCTATTTATTCGCAGACCCAGCGTGTCTTTTTGTTCCACTAACAAAACATCAACGTGGTTGCTTCGGGAAACGCAAGATAAGTGATTTGGTGTTACTGGTGTGGTTTTGTTTATTTATGTTTGTTCTGATGAATGTTCTATAGCTTCAACGTTAACATTTTGTTTGTCTTTGTTACCCTGTGAAGCTCGCTGATCTACTTCGGTTTTTCAACTCCCTATACACAGATACACACAGTTTCACTCATATTTTTCTCACACATGAATAGACACAGTTAGCCCAAACAATGTTTCTTCTTTGCTGACACGGTTACCTGATACACGCAACCATCCCCCTCACACACAATCGCACATTCAACCAACCCTTCACACACACAACCACCCCCTCACACACAATCGCACATCCAACCACCCCTTCACACACAATCGCACATCCAACCACCCCTTCACACCACCCCCCTCACACAGTCGCACATCACACAACAACCACCCCCTCACACACAGTCGCACATCGCACCACCCTTAACACTCAATCGCACCACCCCCCCTCACACACAGTCGCACATCCAACCACCCCTTCACACACAGTCGCACATACAACCACCCCTTCACACACAGTCGCACATACAACCACCCCTTCATACACAATCGCACATCCAACCACCCCTTCACACACAGTCGCACATCCAACCACCCCTTCACACACAATCGCACATCCAACCACCCCTTCACACACAGTCGCACATACAACCACCCCCTCACACACAGTCGCACATACAACCACCCCTTCACACACAGTCGCACATACAACCACCCCCTCACACACAGTCGCACATACAACCACCACTTCACACACAGTCGCACATACAACCACCCCCTCACACACAGTCACACATCCAACCACCCCCTCACACACAGTCGCAAATCCAACCACCCCCTCACACACAGTCGCACATCCAACCACCACCTCACACCCAGTCGCACATCCAACCACCCCCTCACACACAGTCGCACATACAACCACCCCTTCACACACCCATTCATCCACACATCCTCCTACCTCCTCACACACAATCACACATCCAACCACCCCCTCACACACAACCACACATACAACCACCCTCTCACACAAACATTCATCCACACATCCAACCACCCCTTCACACACAACCGCACATACAACCACCCCCTCACACACAGTCGCACATTCAACCACCCCTCACACACAACCGCACATCCATCCACCCCTCACTGTGACGTGACGCGGTGGATTAAATGTTTCTAATGTTGAGTAGGGATGTTCCTCTCAACACATTCCCTCCACCAGATTAACCGAACTAAAATCTGAGCTATGATGCTCTCAGACAAAGTGCTGGATACCCAAGAAAACAACCATATTGGCTCGTTAAGTACTTTAACATTAGCTGAACTTGGTACCCACAAGAGAAGGCAAGGAATTTTAGATGTCTATAGCATTTTAGTATAATGAATTATTAGACAGGGCAAATGATTCCTCCGTCATCTACCTTCTCCCGGTGTTATTATGAATAATTAAAGAATTATTATCATATTAATTGAGCCTCCACCAAATGTAATTCTATCTATCAGTATAGAAAACAGGTAAGATTGAATACACTTGGAATTTAACAAACGATGTAGTTTAAAACTTGACATACAGCTTTATTTACTAACAATTAGTTTATATGAACTTTCCAGTTTGTTGATTTACACAAACAGTGACTGGCTACAGTTATAATAATGATAGTGGTAAGCTTCAGCGAGAAAACAGCTCTGGGGTTTAGAGTGGTGTGATGATGTTGATATGTTTAGTCACAATATGTTAACTTAGCTTTTAAGCCTCTGGCAGCCGTGAGGAACTGTCAAGCTTGTCCAACTCTTCCTTGCCTGTTTTCTGCCTGTTTCAGCTTATTCTCCACTTCATCCCCACCTCGTTCTCCACATCGTTCTCCACCTCGTTCCCAGCTGGCCGAGTCTAACACAAAGTAGTTTCTTTCATGGACTGATCGTCACATGGGCGCTGTAATCATGGAAACAAAACACATACGTGTAGTATCTTGACTTATACTAAGAATACATGTATCAATTAATATAACATATAATAATAAAATATATCCCATCACTCCTCATATTCCACATTCTCTCCAGTCTAGTCTGAAGGTCTTTTGTCTTACATGGACGTCACATATCCTGCCTTCCCTCACAAGCTATGTCATGATAGTTGACTTTCTAAGTCTGTTGTCCGTCTTCACTCAGACTTCCAATCATTGTTTTTACATCAACACGTGGGGCAGGTTATGTGCTGAAACTCCAACCATTTTATATGTGCATGCTGTCCTGAATATTATCTTTCAGTGACAGTAAATTCTGTACGCCCATCATTCTTCCCCTGGGGTTATAAATCCCCTGTTCAGGTGAACACATTAAGTGAGCACATGGTGGGCACACAAAACGTAGCAGCATCCCTGCACATATGGGCATGATTTCCCCCAGTCCAAACTCATATTTTGGTTGATGGTGGAAACAATATAATTATATTTCATTATAGCAAATGTCATGGTTCACATCTTATTTTATACACATGGAATCATACACTGAACAACATGTGACACAAACATACAAGAAATAGGAATAGTTTAGCAGTTCCCTAACTTGAGATACTGAATACTCACAAAGAACTATTTCAAGCAGAATGTGCAGACAAATTAGGAAAAGGTAGTATAGACTAAGCTTAACTCCCTAACCTATGCATACAAGATTAAAATTAATATTTTACCTGGGAACTTCCATCAATCGCCAAACCAGAATCCGACCGTAAAATTTACCTTTTAGGTCGACCTGTGTTTGTTTGCCGGCAGGCTGCGATTAATGACGGGAATTCCACAGGCTCGAAGTATACTATCTATCTGTCTCAAAGGTTCAACTCCTCCCTTTACTCGGTTCTACCCAACCCTCAAGACGATGACTTAAGCCACGCCTCTAAAGTACCTATCAGATCAAATTAGCTAACAAGTGGCCTGTCAGTCAATTCTGGACTGACATCCCTAGAGCGAACAGTCTTAAGTGACCCAATCTAGTTTACAACGAATCTAACTAGCCGGTGTGAAAAGACGGTCAGTGAAGCCATTGTGTTTCCTGCATGACCAAGATCAAACATTCCTAATTGCCAAACACCTGTTCTCTTGAGAATTACACTGACGTGTTAAACTTAAACCTCTCGTCTCCACAATGTCTAGCGTCCACTCAATTCCCCTGATTTAGTCTTTCAAAGCCGCCCCACTCAGTCTGTGGTCAGGAGATAACATTCTGTCACGGGCATGAGAATCAAACATAACATCCCTAGTCTGAACCAGCGGGCTGTATTACGTAGTGGTATGTAATTTTAAACAAAGCGCAGTGGCTTTGTCTCGGAGAAGGACTGGTAACAATTTAAATCAATTTGGTTTAAAGTAATATTAGGGTAAAGGGCAGAGTAAATATAATCCTGTCTCTTTCGAACCAGAAGAACTTATTACAAGTACTAACTTCTGGAACCACTGAGATCGTATCGTGACACTCACACACCCATTCATCCACACATCCAACCACCCCCTCACACACAATCGCACATCCAACCACCCCTTCACACACAATTACAAATCCAACCACCCCTAAAACACAACCGCACATACAACCACCCCCTCACACACAATCACACATACAACCACCCCCTCACACACAACCGCACATACAACCACCCCCTCACACACCCATTCATCCACACATACAACCACCCCTTCACACATACAACCACCCCTCACACATACAACTACCCCCCCCACACACAACAAACCATCCCCCACACACATACAACCACCCCCTCACAACCCATTCATCCACACATACAACCACCCCCTCACAAATAAAACCACCCCCTCACACATACAACCACCCCCTCACACATAAAATCACCCCCTCACATATACAACCAACCCCCTCACACATACAACCACCCCCTCACACATACAACCACCCCCTCACACATACAACCACCCCCTCACACATACAACCACCCCCTCACACATACAACCACCCCCTCACACATACAACCACCCCCTCACACATACAACCACCACCTCACACACAACTGCACATACAACCACCCCCTCACACACCCTTTCATTCACACATACATCCACCCCCTCACACATACAACCACCCCCTCACTCATACAACCACCCCCTCACACATACAACCACTCCTCACACATACAACCACCCCCTCACACATACAACCACCCCCTCACACATACAACCACCCCCTCACACACATCCACACACACATCCATTCATCCACACATACAACCACCCCCTCACACTCACACACATCCATACATACTGACACTGACGCATTGTCCGTGACCTCACAGGGTACATGGGCGTGGTTCAAGCCGGAATCATCCTTAGCCTGTTGTTGCTGACCACATCTGTGCTCTGTTTGCTTCTGGAGGTATGTCTCAAGGCTAAACACTTTCTCACCACACAACTGGTTGGGACTGGCACCAACTCGGCCACCACACAACTGGTTGGCACCGGCACTAACTCGGCCACCTCTCACCTGACTCGAGTCGACAGAGCAGTCTCTATTGCAGCAGCAATGGGAGGTAAGCGAGCAATGTTGGCATAATTACTATTGTACTGTATTACTTCCCCTGAAACCCCTGTGCGAGCGTGCAGCACGCAGGCGATTGTGTGGGATCGACCCATACACCTTCATGTTGTGGACTCGTGTGTATGCCTGAGCTCATATTGACACATCTTAGAGCTCCAACAATGGTGGGTACATGTTTCACCCAATAACGTCTTTAGTTGCAATAATTGGCTCTAAATGTTTGTTGCTCCCATTCTCATGGGCGACTATGTCTGTCCACAACTCCCGTTAGCTGTGCTATATATTTTTTTAAAAATTAGTTCTAATTTTTAAAGCAATGCAATATGCGCTGTTGAATGGCATTGCCTACACCACATTGTGAGAATAGCTTATCTCCGTCTCAGTACGTCACACCATTTCTATTTTGTTATTTGAAAGCTCCACCTCGGCTGTTGTCATGGCTCCTAGTATAACCTGAAGGTTGAACATGTCTTCTGGGACTTGTGTCAGGGGCATTCTCATCCGATTGGTGGCACTTCTCATTACTGGGTTTATCGCTCGTTGTACAGTCCTGGTGGGCTTGAACGTAACTCACTCAAAATACCGGTGCAACAGTGTTTACCTTAAAGAAAGAACTAGAAGTGGAATCCTTGAGCCGGTGCAACAGTGTTTACCTTAAAGAAAGAACTAGAAATATAATTCTTGAGCTGGTGCAACAGTGTTTACCTTAAAGAAAGAACTAGAAATAGAATTCTTGATCTGGTGCAACAGTGTTTACCTTAAAGAAAGAACTAGAAGTGGAATCCTTGAGCCGGTGCAACAGTGTTTACCTTAAAGAAAGAACTAGAAATAGAATTCTTGAGCTGGTGCAACAGTGTTTACCTTAAAGACAGAACTAGAAATAGAATTCTTGAGCTGGTGCAACAGTGTTTACCTTAAAGACAGAACTAGAAATAGAATCCTTGAGCCGGTGCAACAGTGTTTACCTTAAAGACAGAACTAGAAATAGAATTCTTGAGCTGGTGCAACAGTGTTTACCTTAAAGAAAGAACTAGAAATAGAATTCTTGAGCCGGTGCAACAGTGTTTACCTTAAAAAAGAACTAGAAATAGAATTCTTGAGCTGGTGCAACAGTGTTTACCTTAAAGACAGAACTAGAAATAGAATCCTTGAGCCGATGCAACAGTGTTTACCTTAAAGAAAGAACTAGAAATAGAATTCTTGAGCTGGTGCAACAGTGTTTACCTTAAAGAAAGAACTAGAAATAGAATTCTTGAGCCGGTGCAACAGTGTTTACCTTAAAGAAAGGACTAGAAATAGAATTCTTGAGCCGGTGCAACAGTGTTTACCTTAAAGAAAGACTTCTGACACATCAATTGTCACATTATCTTTCTGATATCACCCATCACTTCTGACACATCACCTGTCACATATCCTAATGATATCACACATTACTTCTGACACATCACCTGTCACATATCTTTCTGATATCACACATCACTTCTGACACATCACCTGTCACATTATCTTTCTGATATCACCCATCACTGCTGACACATCACCTGTCACATATCTTAATGATATCACACATCACTTCTGACACATCACCTGTCAAAAATCTTTCTGATATCACTCATCACTTCTGACACATCACCTGTCCCATATATTACTGATATCACATATCAATGTTGTAATCATGTTTTCTCACGTGGGCAATTCTTTCAGAAATACTGGCCGCCTTGACAATGGCTTATTATGGATACAGAACCGTCATGGCGATAGAGCGACTTCCGGTCCTGACAACTGGGTTCGCTGTCACCGGGACCGGGGTCACTGTCTTGCTGCTAGGCAGCATCTTGAGAGCTATGGGTCCAGCCTGCACTTGGGGAGACGGGGTCTGCTGCCTGGCTCCCAGTGGTAAACACACACATCTCTTCCACACGGAAATCAAGTCTCTGTCTGTATGTGACCCTTACTTCAAGCCGGCGGTGCCGGACAGTGCAGCTGCTAGGTCAGGTACCAGCCAGCACAAGCTTGGGCTCATTCCCAGCTGCCAGCAGAAGAGCAACGCCTACAGCTCCGCCCCGTCGACCACCAATAGCTCGCTACACAAGGGCTACCGACACTACGAGGAGATCAGTGTTGATGAGATGCCACACCCACCCCTAGAGCTGCTGATTCCACCATTGCAGACAAGCCCAGCCTCAGTCTTTATCCAGGGGTCGACACTTGAGCTCCAGCACCAACCCCATCACTACACGGCCCCACACTGGGACTACGATATCAGCAGTGCTAGTTCTTCCTTTCAATATTTGCAGATGAATGCCCATCAGCACCAGCGACATCAACAACAACAGCAGCAACTAAGCCACCACCAACAGCTGCAGCATTATACACTCTACCAACAAGGCACTGCAGATAAATGTCCAGCTAGCGCTATCAACAGATCAGAGTTCGTCCCACAGGCCACGCCCAGACAAACCACACAACAGCCGTCAATCATCAGGTCGGGGCAGCAATATTCCAGCACAGCGACTCGGGGTTCAAGCACTATGACACAACAACACAGATCATAGAGCTGGGGCCTTAAGCACTATGACACAACAACACAGATCATAGAGCTGGGGCCTTAAGCACTATGACACAACAACACAGATCATAGAGCTGGGGCCCTAAGCACTAAGACACAACAACACAGATCATAGAGCTGGGGCTTTAAGCACTATGACACAACAACACAGATCCTAGAGCTGGGGCTTTGAACACCATGACACAACAACACAGATCATAGAGCTAGGGCTTTGAGTCCCATGACACAACAACACAGATCATAGAGCTGGGGCTTTGAACACCATGACACAACAACACAGATCATAGAGCTGGGGCTTTGAACACCATGACATTACAACACAGATCATAGAGCTGGGCCTTTGAACACTATGACATAACAACACAGATCATAGAGCTGGGGCTTTGAACACCATGACACAACAACACAGATCATAGAACTGGGGCTTTGAACACCATGACACAACAACACAGATCATAGAGCTGGGGCTTTGAACACCATGACACAACAACACAGATCACAGAACTGGCGCTTTGAACACCATGACACAACAACACAGATCATAGACATGACACAACAACACAGATCATAGAGCTGGGGCTTTGAGTACCATGACACAACAACACAGATCATAGAACTGGGGCTTTGAACACCATGACACAACAACACAGATCATAGAACTGGGGCTTTGAACACCATGACACAACAACACAGATCATAGAACTGGGGCTTTGAACACCATGACACAACAACACAGATCATAGAGCTGGGGCTTTGAACACCATGACACAACAACACAGATCACAGAACTGGCGCTTTGAACACCATGACACAACAACACAGATCATAGAGCTGGGGCTTTGAACACCATGACACAACAACAACACAGATCATAGAACTGGGGCTTTGAACACCATGACACAACAACACAGATCACAGAACTGGGGCTTTGAGTACCATGTCACAACAACAACACAGATCATAGAACTGGGGCTTTGAACACCATGACACAACAACACAGATCATAGAACTGGGGCTTTGAACACCATGACACAACAACACAGATCATAGAACTGGGGCTTTGAACACCATGACACAAAAACACAGATCATAGAGCTGAGGCTTTGAACACAATGACACAACAACACAGATCATAGAACTGGGGCTTTGAACACCATGACACAACAACACAGATCACAGAACTGGGGCTTTGAGTACCATGACACAACAACAACACAGATCATAGAACTGGGGCTTTGAACACCATGACATAACAACACAGATCATAGAGCTGGGGCTTTGAACACAATGACACAACAACACAGATCATAGAACTGGGGCTTTGAACACCATGACACAACAACACAGATCACAGAACTGGGGCTTTGATTACCATGACACAACAACAACACAGATCATAGAGCTGGGGCTTTGAGTACCATGACACAACAGCAGAGATCATAGAGTTGCTTACGATTGAGGCGCATGAATGATGGGGCTCTAATATAAAATAGACACTAGGACAGCACAGATACTAGCACACTGACGGTGTAACATAGAAACTAGGACAGCACAGATACTAGCACACTGACAGTGTAACATAGACACTAGGACAGCACAGATACTAGCACACTGACAGTGTAACATAGACACTAGGACAGCACAGATACTAGCACACTGACGGTGTACCATAGAAACTAGGACAGCACAGATACTAGCACACTGACAGTGTAACATGGACATTAGGACAGCACAGATACTAGCACACTGACAGTTTAACATAGACATTAGGACAGCATAAATACAAGCACACTGACAGTGTTACATAGACACTATGACAGCACAGATACTAGCATACTGACAGTGTAACATAGACACTAGGACAGCACAGATACTAGCACAGTGACAGTGTAACATAGACACTATGACAGCACAGATACTAGCATACTGACAGTGTAACATAGACACTAGGACAGCACAGATACTAGCACAGTGACAGTGTAACATAGACACTATGACAGCACAGATACTAGCATACTGACAGTGTAACATAGACACTAAGACAGCACAAATACTAGCACAGTGGCAGTGTAACATAGACACTAGGACAGCACAGATACTAGCACAGTGACAGTGTAACATAGACACTATGACAGCACAGATACTGGCACACTGACAGTGTAACATAGACACCAGGACAGCACAAATACTAGCACAGTGGCAGTGTAACATAGACACCAGGACAGCATATATACTAGCAGACATCCTTGTGCGGTGGTGCAGGGCCGCCAAGAGGCAAAGGGGGACAAATGTGCATTTTCTGTAGCACCTTTATCGTTGAACCTCTGTCTCTTGCATTTTGCTTTACCTCGATTTCTGGAGAGTTTCCCTTCTATGGAGAAATTAAACACAAAATGAGTTCGTTGCTGTTATCTATAGGAAAT